TCTGTACTTACTTGGCATCCTGCCATCCCTCCACATGATTCTGGTACGTTCTACGATGTTCCGGACTATTCTAGACAGCGTCCGGATTACTCGCATTACTCAGCCATGGACTATCTGACCTTATGTCGATTATGCTCCCTTACTCAGCGTTACTCATCGCTCAGTCAGCGTCCTCTGGACGTCACATGCTCTCTTCTTATACGCTTACTCATCGTCCTCCCCAGTAGTATATAAGGAGGACTCTGCAGGCCTCTGCTCTTCAGTCGTTCTCTCACAGACTGAAGAGTAAGTCCCACACTACCTATGCTTCCTTACATGTTTACTTACTAGTACTTGTAGCCTCTCTTTGTGCGGCTTACAGGTACAGTACTATGCAATCATAGTCGTTCTCTCACAGACTGAAGACCTCTCTTTGTGCGGCTTACAGCCTTCCAGGTTCAGAGTTCATCAGAAGAGAGCTCTCAGCTCACAGCGGAGGGGCCAGACGCGGAGGGGCCACAGTCGGATGTCGCCGTGAATCGCAGCAGCACCTCCGCGGCATCAACGAGCGAGGTCCCGCTGCAACATTCTGCCGACGGCACGCCCAACGCCAGGACGCCGCAGCGCCGCGATGTGGGACGGCAGCCGCGCTGCGAGACCGACGGCGGGGTTCGTCTTGCCGGTGGACCATTGGGTGCAGTTTTAGATGACGATGTTTTAAGCGATGTATCATCCACACTCCCGCCACCCTACAACGTGTATTGAGCCTCGGCATCCTTGTAAACACGGCAGACGTCTTTCTCTCTTCAGATTTCATGCTACGTTATATCACCTTCACTACCATGTCCCGTGTCAAAATGTGGAAACGCCTCTCAGGGTTTTGTTACCGCTAGCATACCAATCATCGCTCGAAAATATCGCATGTTTGCTTTACGAGTTCGTCTCCCTATCGTCTTCCAAAAATAGGTGTACCGTGTTGGCGTTCACGTCGAGGCCCTCTCTATCGTACAACATTTGCCCGGTCTGTTTGCGGCCCCTCATCGTAAGCCCCACCCCGACATGGACGGATTAAGATCACATCTTTCAAAGACCTATAATTCAACGACGAGGGTGATTCGGGACACGTCGACTTCGGACTGTAAGGGTGTTAAAATAGCGTAGCATGTACTGACATGAACAGCGCCCCACTAACCTGATCCCGGTGACCACTGAGCCCGAAACGGACTCGAATACGGAATGTGCAATCAATCCAAGCCGCCGAGCGAGGGTGTCATTAGCAGCCTTACACAGACGCGGAAAATAAAACGTACCTTGGGGAATCCACCATCATATGCCCGTGCAGGCTATACATACACAGCGTGCTTGTATTCCCGCGCAAACGTGCTGTGACGCGATGTAGCACGAATTATGCCCGATCACGGCGGTGTGCCAACGCCTGCGCGCAATCGACACCACCAGCCTCTAGCGTAAATGACGTAGCACGGTACCAATGCATGTCCGTGAGGGGGAGCGTGATGCACGGACGCGGGCTTTGGCACAGAGACGCGCGCTTGGAGAGCCGCGAGGTCGTGTTCGTGCTATAGAACCAGTACGTGAAATATTAAGATATATCAAAGTACGTGGCGCGGAAGGGGACGAACCAGCGTTCACGACAGCGCGTGTTTACGCCGCGCACAGAGTGTCCGATGGCGTTCAGATACTTCGAGCGGCTGACGCGATCCGTCGTTGGCGAGGGCTTGACCAAGACAGAGAGAAGACGTGGACCAGGAGGCTGTTCGATAGCTGAAATACGGCAGCCGTAAGTGCATGTCTGGTGCATCGGCAGGACAGACTGATGCCACATACAAACTTCGACATGTCAGAGACTCTGTGCGATGCGGTGCCGGTACTCAGGCATCGCCCCGAGTCCGGAGCGGATAATGTAGCCCCGAGGAGGCACACGCCTACGAGTTAACGACAGGGCCCGTCACATACACCGCATGAGTAAACGGATGGGGCTTGCGCTGCTGGAGATTGTAGGCGAGAGTCTGTGATGTTAGCGCGAGGTCGCGTTTGTCAGCTTAAATGTGCCCTTGGAGTAAGAATCAGCGCGAAAGGATGCAATGGATAGAGTAAACTAGACTTGCCTGCTAGGACATCCGGTGCGGCTTGAGTCACCGAGGAGAAGACCTATCGGCGGGTAAGCGACCTAGAGCGTCGTACTATTCATCATGTCCGCACCACTCCGTCATTCATGACATGCTGCTGCCGCAATAAGTATTTTGACATGGATAAACGTATCGTCGAGAGAACGAAGCGCGTGAATGCACCCCGGCGAGCATCACAAACGCGCGACACGCGCAGCTCGAAGCGCCACGGAACACTCCCAAGGCGCGATATAGGATAGGCATTGCAAGAGTGACTTACCTGGATGTTTACCAACTCTCAATATCCATCCATCCCATTCTGAAGATTGACCCATCGCCTGAGGCTTCCCAAATAGACAACTTTAGGACTCTTGCCAGCCCGTCGCGAAACCGTAGTGAGCGAGGTAACTATCAAGATGTTACTAGTTACAGAAGACTGAGAAGCTAATGGAGATAGTAGCATGATCAAGCTAAGGCGCAACTCCACGAGCAAAAGCAGAGTGATGCAGAGGCGCGAGTGAGTGAGCAAGAGAGAAGAGCCGTGGCAAAATCCGAGTGGCCCGGCCGCGTCGGCTGCCAGCGCCGACAATGACGTCACGCATGGCCACGCTTCCCCCGCACGCCTCGGATCGCTCGTCCACTCTCGTCTTGTCCAGGTACCGTCCTGAGAGCCCAGCTTGCGAAGTGTGAGAATAGCTGAGAAACCGGAGTGGACGTGTTCGAAGACGCGTTCCGACGACACGATGCGGTCTTGACGCGGTGGAGCTCGGGCACGTGGGCGCGTTTACGGCAGGTATTTGGGAGGCTAGGTTAGGGTTGCGCTGATCTGTGCACGGACCGCCAGCAAGTACTCGTGCGTTCATCTACGCCCTCGTCGCTCTCTTCGACGCCGTTGTGCGACGCTCACCCGTACCGCTCCGTCTACGATACTACTTGGGTGCAGCCATTTAGCGTTTCCGCTCCTACATGACTTCGGCGAAGGCTACCCTATCTCGGCTGAACGGTGTAGTGGACCGACACTCGCGGTGCTGAACACGATGGTGATCACCTAGCCCCGGAGGTTGTGCATTATCGTGAGTACAAGAGACCTCGTAAGTGGTATTCAACAACTTGGAACTCGACTACGAGGCTATCACTTATACCGCTTTTTAGATCTCCTTTGTGTGCTTCCAGTTGCGCACGTCTTCTGAGACATCAAGATATTGTGCTTATGGATGGTGCTATGCATTACGATAGAACACTATCAAACTGCATATGAACTCAGGAGCGCAATGGGTGGACCAGGTGAGGTTCGTATTTGACCTTTTTTCTTCCCGGTATACACAATCCTTCATGGTTTGAATTATGATCTTGCGCTACTAGCCACCTCCGGAGCCGCGAGTCAGTCGCTCTGGCCAGCGGTTTTGCACTACCACTTTGCCACTCACGATCTCAATGCCAAGACCCAAGGCCCGGTGTGCTCGGCAATCCCACCCCCGCTGTCGATTCCCGCGCTCGATATCGTCGTTCTGCTGCAAAATACGCAGAAAAAAGCCGCGCAAACACTTCCCGGGCCTCCCGTCATCCCCCTTCGCACCCCCAAGCGACATACTGCCTCTCTCCTTGCTCGAGTCACCTTGAGATCAGTCACGCGTTCTTCCGTGTCAAGCTCCGCAATGCAGGAGCAAAACCGGCGGCTACATCCTCCACGCATCGCTCACTACCCCTACATCCCGAAACACTGTGCGGAAATTGCATCGCAAGACCCTCTCCTCCCTGGGTGGCCGTTCCGCGCCCGCACATGCTCTCCGTCGAGGAGAACTGCGCAATCCGGCTGCGCATGCGTGGATTGCCGTGCACCGACCTCAGCGTATTGGTCCTTCTCGTCGTTTATTTCGACGAGCTGTCTACTGGCTACTTCGCGCCTCAAGAGGTCCTCCAAAACGACGACTTGGAACCGCCTACGCGGAGTCTTTGCTAGGCCCGCGCTCCCGAGACATACCTTCTTCCGGCTCTGGTGCTCTGTGTCCCGGATCTAAGCCTCGAAGACGCTTCTGGTACGAGGTGGACGGCCATGGTGGTGTGCGAAAAGACCCAGAGCTTCCGGCGCGCCGCCGAGTCGGTTCTTCCTCCTACTCGTTGAGTGGAACCCGTGTTGGACATCACTTCTTCCTTGGCGAACCCGCATTCCGCTTTCTGGGGCATCCTCGGGCCTCCGGGTGAGCATTCCAATCACTGACGGCTTCACATGACGAGATCTGCTGCTGCAGGGCCGTAGCGTCGCCCCACGGAGCCGTCGCCGTGGGTGAAGATCGACGCGTGTACCTCGCGCAGTGCCGCTTGCATGTCAAACGGTTTTGCGCGCAACTCCATCCGGAGGCCAGCTGCGGATCCTCGCTGGGTGGCGACACACTCGGGTTCGCGTCGAGGAGCCTCGCGAGCGCCTTCAACAGCTGCGTCCTGCGGCTCGCGTCGTACGCGGAAAAAATAGAGGCGTGCAATTCACACGTTAAGGTACAATAACTTGAGTCTATCGATCGAGCTCATAGCAATGTATCCGTACTAGAACAGTCTAAGGACGTGGCTCATGTATTGCTAGCTTACTCGCGGAAAGCCTTAACACAGGTAAAAGGCTCGTCACAAATGCCGCATGCGTGCATGGTATCTCGGATTCAACCCACGGACGCCGAGTGGCACCCGTCACCGATAAAGCTTTATCGGTGACGGGTGCCACTCCGGCTGGCAGCGAGCTGTATGAATCCAACGACTCGCATTTGACTCACTCACTCGACGAATGCGACAGTGTGATTTAGAAAAAGGACTGAGTTGAGGGACTCGATCTGGGCTCTCGTGAGGCTCGAACGAGACAAACTCGGCATTTGGGGAGAGAAAAGCAATCAAAGCTATTCCAAATAGATACATTTGGATGCCGTTGTTGTGTATTCTCACTGGGGATCAAGGCCCGAGCACGCGCCCTGCCGTTCGGTCGCCATGTGCGTCCATAGATCTTTCGCCTCGTACTGCACTTAGGCTGACATTTCCCAACGCGGCAACCTCCTCAACTCAAGTTGTTCGCTCGCGCTGCGACACTCACCCAGCTATTGAGAGCTCTCAAAGCAAAGAATACGTGGGCCGGATGACGATACATACCCCGCCCTTTGCCATACAACCACGCGCCGTGACGAAGAGAGCGATTACACTTGAACGAGATCCCGGGTCTCCAACCATCCGCGCCCACGCTCCATACGGGCAGATCCACCCTTCCCCAACCTTTCCGCCCGCTTCGTAGTCCGTCTGTAGCAGCGCCGCAGAAGACGCGTGGTCAGATGTCATTACAGTTCTGAGTGTACGAAACACACCTTCTGTGATACAATGCAACCCATCTGTGCTCTCGCATGCCGCCTCTAGCGAACGGCGTCGGTGGAGAATCCTAGACATGCGCGATAGATTGTGTCAATCAGAGGACGGCGGAGAGGAACGAAGCAAAAGCGCCTACGTTGCGAGCTGGTGCCAAGAGCCTCGAGCTGCGCAAGCACCGCCGACATCTTCCGATCCATGTCCTGCATTTGCGACGAGTGACCAGCTATCTGCGCTCGCAGCGCATCGTTCTCCAGCCGCAGGGCGTCGATGTCATCCCGACCAGCATACTCGTAGGCGGTGACCGGGAGATGGGTCGACCCGCAGGATGGGAAAACATTATTGTCCTTGTTCGAAGTCTCGTGTTCGGTGCCAGTTTGTTCCAACGAGAAACCGTCCAGTATCGCCTGTGTTGCATATGGAATCTCCTCCGACATATCAATGGATAGCCAGAGGTGCGAGGGACCCGAATCTTCCGAAATCGGACTCGCAAAGGGATGCTGCAGTGCAATTCGCAGGAGACGAGCCGAGCCGCCCCAAATTGCCTCTGAGCCGACTGTGAACTCGGTAGAGATGATTGTGGGCCTGCAAATTTTCCAGAGATGGATATGCATGAGCGTACTGATATATCCGTAGTTCTCCAAATCGAGGAATGTGCCTGGGATGCGAGGTGTGTTGCCAACGGCATCGTGCGAGGCGGCAGCTCCGAGGAAGGACTGCCCAGAGAACGAGCCGATGACGCCCACGTCCACTCTCCTGACAGAGAAGCAGGCCTCCACTCCCCGGCCCTCAGATCGCGTGAGGGAAAGTCGCAATGCAACGACGTATGTGGTTCCCTCACCGTGGAATTTAAGTGTTGTCTCTAGGATGATCTCCTGCTCTGAGGGAGTGACCTGTACAGGGGAAGTGACGATGCCTAGTATCTAGAGCGCGTCCATGCTGTGAGGAGAGATCGTATAGACGGTACGGTGGATCATGTCGTAGAAGTAATATAAGCCGTGCCACGCTGGAAAATCTGGATCTCCGCGCTGTTGGAGCGACTTCGGGATCGAGTGACCCGAGTGGTGGCGGAGGAGTGTCACATCTTCCACCGTCGGCCGGACGTGTTCCAGAAGTGTCATTAACACTCCGATCTCCATACCGACAGCACGGTAGAACCATAAGTCGTCAACGTCATGGATGTGGCCTCCGATAGAAAAGGCACCCCGGTTGCTTCCGCTGCCTTCCCGCCGAGACCGACGCAGGGGGAGTCCAAGAATTGATGTTGTACCCGTTGCACGACGCTCCTGGCACTGCAGGACAGCCAGTGTGTCATAGTCGCCCAGCGTACACCCTGAACATGTGTCCCAGGGGGATTGCGACCCCTGAAAGGCCATCCGGATGTCTGGCACTCCAGAAAGCGGTAAGCAGATGAGACGCATACTGACGCCTTCCGGAGTAAAGATGCAATGAACAGGAGGAATTTGGCTCTCTTGGATGCCGAGGGTCTGCGCAAAAAAGGAGGAAGCGATCGAAGTGATGTCGGAACATTCGGAGAAGGAGGACGGAGAGCTCGTGAGTAGGCTACGACCATCGTCGGTAAGAAGCCAACCGTATCTCTCCACCGACCATTTACCCTTGTCTGAGAGCCTGAGAGAGCAACTATTTCCCCACGCAAAGATGCTTTGATCGGGGATGGTCCTGATGATTTCCTCCTGGAGACGGAGAAATGCGTTCTCGCCCTCGCCGTAGATTGGCGACATGTGAAGGCCAAAGATACCAAGCAGGGAGTACGCACGGTCCTCGACGCGCGTCGTCTCTCGCTCAGCAGCCCATGACATCCTACGCGCGACGCTGACCGAGTTCAGCGTAGACCGTCCTGTGAGGATGTCAAAGTCTACTCCAGTGATCCTCTCCAGAGTCCTTGCGAGAGTCCACTTCGTGCCGAGAACGTTCCAGGTCTCCGTCAGGAAGACAATGTGCTCCGGAGCGATGAGCTCTTGAAGCGTCCAGCCGCGTTTGTGCCATCTGCTGAACCGAAACGCCCGACGAATTTCCTGGGGTACGCCTTCGGAGACGTCCGCGAGGTAGACATAGCACATGTCCGAGAGCCTGTACCACTCGTACATCGAGTTGATCGCCTCGGAGAGCTCGGCGCTGCTCGTCTTGTCGATGCAGCACGCGTCGTTCCATACGAGTCGGAAACCGGCCTCGCGCGCGACCTTGCAAAAGCCCTTGATCTTGTCTGAGAGCTCCGGGTGAGCGAAGATCGTGCCAAGTTCGCGGTGCTCGGTGAGGGAGGCTTTAGAGGCTCGAAACAGTGTGAATATGTCTCTCCTCACAGCCGCCTGGATCTTTAGGACGTCGTCGTATGATTGCTCTCCGCCCTCCCCAGAGTCGCGCCAAACGTGGGATAGGATGGCGTAGGTGACCTTACTCGCATCGGGGTGCCACTCGAACCCGCCCGTCCAAGTGTTCAAGAACCGAGGCATCCTATCAAGAGCATCAGCAGGTTGCAATAATCGCGCGACAAACACATCTCAAGCTCACCTCGTTGGGCTACACAGATGCAAGCAGGGCAATTTTGAGAATTCAAAAACAAAGAGATGGGGGGAAGGGCTGACAGCGTGCCCGATACGCGTACGAGGAGTTCTGAGTGCGTGCCTCCCGTCCTTATACCGCTCGCACTGCCGGGTGTGTATCGCATCCGAGTCTAACAGAAGTGTCATCAAAGGAGACGGAACGACCGCCTTGTCTACATGGTTCTGTCATCGCGGGGCTGCGCAGACGTCTACCACAAAAGCACCCCGTCTGATATTCGACTGTCAAAACCGGACGACTGATATCAGACAATCTTGGAAGGAGGGCTGTGTGCAGAAGCATGCGTATATAGAAAGGAGATGGCGGGAATGGCTCAGAAGACTCCGTCTAGCAGCCGATGATGTCGCAACGCGGACACGTACTGACATTTCTGCTGCTGTGCGTTCTTCCTAGGCTGTGGTCAGCGTGAACGCTTATGTGGTCCAACTGTCATGCGCAACCGCATCCAGTGCATGGACGCACACGAGAAAGGTATACACAGGATACTTTATAGCAGCTGGACACGTACCTGGTACGAGGACGCGAGGGGAACGGTGTACCAGTCCACCGTATTCGTAGATATGCGGCAATGCCCATTCCCGAAAACGCAGTGCCCTTTCTGCTTCTGTGGGTCGGCTATGATACGCCTCCTTCCGCAGACACAGATACCCTTGAAGTTGTTGCGTCGCGAGATCGCGGCGAGCGAGGGGAAACGACTGCTCGCCCGAAATCACACGAAAAATCAACGTGCTATTGATTTGTTATCCGCGCCCGGAGCGCCGTACAACGGACGTGTATGGATATCGCGAATGAGCAAATCAATACTCACATCGTCGACTTGGACAAGCAGCCAACGTGTGCTACAATTACTCGATGTTGACCCTACATCAATACTCGTCCTCGGCGGCGAGCGGATCGCCCCCTTGGGCCTTCACCGCACGCATGCGAAAATTTGCGGCATTTGCCATGTCTGCGAAGCCGGTCTTGGACAACGAGTGTTCATCGGATAATCTGCAGATAAGGATGGCCTCAGCGACGCGATGAGGCCATTCGAAACCCGCAGAAGCTTACGACTATTGATACACTATGTATGCGAGTGCCGTGGATACTGCTTACCGGTACCGGAGTACTCACATCGAGTATTCAACGTTCAACGTTCGCGCGGCCGTATACGACACAGCAGGCTGGCGATAGTGCGCCCCGCGCAGAGGCTGTAACGCGTGCCAGGAATCACACTTTCCCCTCGTCGTAAGGCTCGCACAGGTGTTCATGTGTCCCACGCCGATGGCGTTGGAAAAGGTGCCCGCGCAGTCGTCGGACCTGGTTGCAGGCGAAGATGTTCGGCTGGGATGCGCCGAAATATGGTCAGTGGCGATAACGAACTTGAACAGGGGAAATAAACCTAGTCGTAGCTTGCCTTCGTGGTCGTTGTACAATTATTTTGTAAAAAGAGGTGGCGCGAGAGCTGTCCGATGCGCCGCTTACGATCCGCTCAGGGGGGTTGATAGCGTGGAACCGGACCCGAGGGTTCTGATAGCTTGTACCACTCGAAAGCGGCATCGCCCATCTCGTGGAGTACGGCGGTGCTTAATTTCGTCGACCCAGCGCGAAACGGATCCACTTATCTTGAGGCTATGCTGTATGTTTCGCCAGATCGTCCGGGACACAGGTAGGAGTGCAAGCTCCAGCATCTCCGAGTAGTAGTGCGTCGCAGGAGGACCCAGGTTCCGCGGCATACGTTACAGCGACATCAGTATTTATGCAAATGTCTGCAGGGCCTGAGTCAGGCCTCTCAGACGCCTTCAGACAACTTTCAGACCATCCAGACATCCAGGTGCCAGAAACGGTTTTCTTTCGCCCCAGATGGGACGAGTAGACGTGGCCGGAGACACTCAGATGGTCAGATAGTCCAGACGGCTCAGATTTGACTGGAGTTCAGATGAGCATGTCACATTGCAACGAAAAGATATAGCATTCAAATCTACTTCGACGGGATAAGGGTGTGATTTACGTGGCGACTACGATGCGGGCGAGCTGCTGCGCTCGCGGGAATACATGGCGGCGGCAGCGAGTTGAGAGCGACAAGGCTTGGTCTTCACAGCAGAGACGTTGGTCATGGACATTGCAGTCTCGAGAAGTCTGTCAAAACGATGCGGTGCGGCGAGCAGATCGGCGACCGCGGTGTCCCTCCAGTGTGCTGTGAGCCCGCCAGCATTTCCGATCGAGAAGTGTCCCTGCTCGATGCCCTTTGGCTGATCGTACAAGTACCACTCGAACGAGCGCTGGACCTGAATACAAATTAGCTCAACACAGGGATTAATGAGACCATGACGCACCGCTGCTGCTGCTAATGCAAGTGCGCCGACCGGATATTGGTCGTCTTGTACTAGCACGGAGTTGACGGTGCTTCCAAGATGATTGGCCATCACTTGGAGGATGTATTTCGACTGCAGGTGCTTGCGCGCATTACCCGGCTGCGGCCACCAGACTAGAAGTCAGTGTCTGATTCAGTCATGCACAGGGACCGTATTCACTCACCACACGGATATCCGGATCGCCCCACATCGCCTCTCCGCCCGCGCACAGTGCTTGCTCTTGCCAGATACTCATTCCACGCTCACTGCGCTCGGATGCGGCTAGTCTCTTGTCGGCGAGGCGTAAGCTGCGTTCTCGCTGGACAGCGGTGTTGGCGTGCATCTGGAATTTGTGGCGCCAGTCATACGCTTGCTGCTTGCACTGTAGATACGTGCGTACAAATTAATTCATGCGGGTACGTGTTCAGCATGAGGACGCACCCATGTGTAGACGTTGTCGTCACTCGTCTCGACGGTGTACTGATGCTGCGGAAACACCGTATCGAGAATCTCCTGGAGTAGATCACGGAACGTGTACTCCTCACTGTCCAGAGCCCACGGATTGTCCTGGTGACCGAAAAAGTCGCGGATGGATGGGACAACTATCGTCTTGATCTCAGGCTTGACCCAGTCGGGGAGGGCGTCGTATGCTTTGGAGTTGGCAGGTTCATTGTCTGAGGCGGTGCGAGCCTTCTTCGGTTTCTTCTGTTCGCGGGCGGCAGGTGTGCTCTTGGACGTGGCAGGTGCGCTCTTGCGCTTCTGCGCGCGGGCAAGCTCTTCGTCCTCAGGTACCTCGTAGATATCGACGTTCTAGGGCAGACTATCAATGAGCCTAATCGCAACCTTTGAACCACTACATACCTTCGAGGACGCCTTGAATGACTTGCGGTGCGCCACAGCGCGCCCGCCGTGATCAGCACGCACATCCTGATCCGTAAAACCGCCGATACGCTCGTCGTCCAACCCGTCTTCCATGTCCAATGCGTCGCGACGCTTCGAGATTTGTTTAGCAGCCGCTGAAGGATCTTACATCAGCGGGCATCTGAAGTACGGAATTGGAGGAAAACATACAGTTGGAGCGCGGAGCCTTGAATGCGGCGGACTTGTGAGGTGTGCTATTGAGCGAGGGCGAAGATCGCGACGCTACCTGGAGGCGTTGCCGCCAGCCAACGTTAAACGCATCATTCGACGTGCTCGCACTCGCTTGCGCATTTTTGGAGGTGGGCGGCTTGCGCATGGCGGGTTTTGTGCGTGCACTCGTGCCGGTTTCCGTCAGCGACTCCGAGGCATTAGATGAGGGTTTTGCAGAGTCTGGGCGGGCGCTTGACTTCGCACGACGTAACACAAGATCCCCACGGATCTCCTGCTGCTTGTGGGCCCTCCTCTCAGCAGCTGTCAGCCTCTATAATGCAGTCATATCCATCAGTAGTGAACACACTACCAGATAAGACTTACCTGTGGCTTGCCCTGTGTGCCTAGCATGTCATCGTCGACATCGTCATCTATCTCAATGATGTCATCCTCAGCTTCGTCCTCTTCTGCATTGGCGTCGTCTTGATATCCATTGCTGGCAGCGTCAACGCTTGAGCTGCGGTTGTCGATTACTTGCTCGCTGTCCGAGTACCAGTCTTGTGAGACTTGCGTGACATCAGTAGGGCGTGATCGGGCTTCAGCGTGAACAATCGGATCGCCACCCGACGCGGAATCGGAGTCGCCGCCATCATACTCATCTGCTAAAGCGGAGAAGGCCTTGGACTTGTATGGTTGTGTGACGATGTGGCTGCCCGGCTCGACCTGAATAGATTTTGATCAGCGTAGGTCGCCGCTCGCGTTGCGGATGGGCTCGTTGTGGACCACATGGGAACTCGGCTTGCCACAGAACCTTCCGCATCACATGTATCGTAGTGTGCACACCGTCCCCACCATGTACACATCACTCGCGGGAGATGAGCTTACTAGGCGCACGTATTCCTTTGCGGGCAGGCTTCCGAAAGCGCGTCCATCGCGCGCCACTTGGTTGACTTGCGAGGGTACCCGAGGCGGGGGTGAGTTGCACGGAGGCACAGTCTCTTGTCGTGAGTGGGCAGGCGCTGTGAAGGCTCCGAGCTTAGGGGCCGTGGCTGCCATATCAGGCACATCATGAGTACGCGAGCCGTGCGACCTCGAGGCATGCAAACGTACAGAAGTGAGCCCGTTCAAGGATAACCTCCCCCGCCTTCCTATTCTCCAACATGGCAACAAAGTCCTTCTTCTTGTCTAGAGCTGCCTTGTCGGCAGCTTTGTCAGCATGATGAACTCTGAACCTGGAAGGCTGTAAGCCGCACAAAGAGAGGTCTTCAGTCTGTGAGAGAACGACTATGATTGCATAGTACTGTACCTGTAAGCCGCACAAAGAGAGGCTACAAGTACTAGTAAGTAAACATGTAAGGAAGCATAGGTAGTGTGGGACTTACTCTTCAGTCTGTGAGAGAACGACTGAAGAGCAGAGGCCTGCAGAGTCCTCCTTATATACTACTGGGGAGGACGATGAGTAAGCGTATAAGAAGAGAGCATGTGACGTCCAGAGGACGCTGACTGAGCGATGAGTAACGCTGAGTAAGGGAGCATAATCGACATAAGGTCAGATAGTCCATGGCTGAGTAATGCGAGTAATCCGGA